ATTTCCAGCATAACAAGCTGCAAAAAAGAACAAATGTTCAATAGCTTTCCAATGATACATATATATCATCTGTCCAAGAGCAATAACTACATAACACATTGTTTCTCATTAATGCCCTCTACGAAATGTAGACATTAAATTGCTTACAATGTCATTTTCAAACTAAAATATATTTCCAAGGAACAATACTCATGTAGAAATGGATAATCCTCGCTGATTATCGAACTCTTCGAATCCCTTCCTTATATAAACTTTTAATAAAATGATTTTTAAATAAGTAATCATGGTAATGAGTGCCCTTACAAGAAGATTTTTGAGAGAATATACATTTCTAAGGGAAACAACTCCTTTAAAAATCGTTTATCCTTAATTATGTGATAATTATGTATTAGTATGTTTGATTCCTGAACAAGTGTGTGCTTTCTAACTGGTTATCATTGTAACAGTATACGTAAACAATAGCTATTTTGGTATTTTGTTTTCATTTCCTGAAGTGCGATGCAATTGTCAATATGTATATTTTTTTTTATTTTTTATTTTTTTTTTAGTAGATCATACTTTATTGATAATTTTGACATTTGTTAGTGGATACATCAAATACTGGTACCTTATCCCGGCCACTTTAACCATTAGTAGTATATAAGAGAATGGAAAAATAAATAAATAAATAAATAGAAATCACAGTAATTTGGAATTTTGGAAAAAGAAAAAACAAATAAACAAAATACAAAAAAAGTATGTCTTATTTACAGCATTCATTACAGCTCGCAAAGGAATTTTTTTTCAATTGTTTTCGTTCAGGCAATAACTAAGAGGAACATAACTATAGTTATAAACATAGACAAAACATCAATCATACATATAAACCAACATATATCAGTATTAAATCATAAGATAGATGGTGATGTGGATAAGGTAAAGAAATGTAAGTGAAAGTAATTCAGGTACACAAAGAACCTATTATTTTAAAATAAAAAATTATTCTTCTAATATTGGAAGCCAGGGGTCCCAGCAGATATTGGCCATATGAAAAGGGTTACTTTTAAAAAATATATTCCTTTCTTGTGTAAGAGATTCTTTGAGGTAATTTTTTAGTCCTGTAAAATTTACCTGATTTTCACAGAGTTGTGTTCTATAAATATAGAATTTTGTAAGGAGTTTTACAAAGTTTTTATCTTATCATTTCCTTTGTTTCCAAAATTTCCAAATAAAATAATATCTATATTAAATGGAATTATTATTTGTGTTTGGTTATAAATCCAATCACTAAGTTTAATCCATAATTCTGAAATTGTATAGCATGTCCAACTTATGTGCTCAATATCTTCAATAGCTTCATTACAGAAAGTACATTTATCTGTTTGTGTTATCTTAATTTTGAATAAAAATTCGTTTGTGCCTATGATTCTGTGTTCTATTCTGTATTGGAACCAATGAAGTTCAGATCTTTTTATGGTGTATAAAAGACATATTATGCACTTTTTTCCAATCCAATTTTTATTTAATCTTAGAGACCATTTATCTTCACAGTTAAGTCTTGGACTATTTTTTTCTAATAAAACATTATACATATCTTTTGACCCTTTATTTGATAAAAACAATGTTTTTTTATATTATATGGTAGAATTGGTCAATGAATTTTATAAAGACTGTCTATAGAGATATTATGTTTGAAAGAATTTTGATATGATTTTATTGCTGATATAATAGATATAAGAAGATGTGGTATGAGTGCCAATGAGACAACTCTCCATCCAAGTCAAAATTTATAAAAGTAAACCATTATAGGTCAAAGTACGGTCTTCAACACGGAGCCTTGGCTCACACCGAACATCAAGCTATAAAGGGCTCAGAAAATTACTAGTGTAAAACCATTCAAACGGGAAAACGAACGGTCTAATCTATATAAAAAACGAGAAAAGAGTAACACTTATGAACCACATCAAAAAACGACAACTACTGAAAATCAGATTCCTGACTTAGGACAGGTGCAAACAATTGCAGCGGATTTAAACGTTTTAATGGTACCAAACCTTCACTCTTTTTCTGAAACAATAGTGTAACATCACAACATAAATAACCCCATTATAAACTAGAAAGTTAGATTTAATTTCATCAATATTATTGCATTGCTCAAAAGACATTAATTTACCCTCATTATCTACCAGATCATTTATCAACAAAATGCCATTATCAGCCCAGTCTTTATAGAAAACAGATGTGTTTCCTATTTTAATATTTTCATTATTCCAAAGTGAGTCTGCTAAAAATTCTTCTTCATTTTTTGGTATATGTTTATTTTATAAAAAAGAAGATGTGGTATGATTGCCAATGAGACAACTCTCCACAAGAGACCAAATGACACAGAAATTAACAACTATAGGTCACCGTACGGCCTTCAACAGTAAGCAAAGCCCATACCGCACAGTCAGCTTTAAAAGGCCTCGAAATGACAATGTAAAACAATTCAAACGAGAAAACTAACGGCCTAATTTATGTACAAAAAATGAACGAATAACAAATATGTAACACGTAAACAAACGACAACCACTGAATTACAGGCTCCTGACTTGGGACAGGCACATACATACAATATGTGGCGGGGTTAAACATGTTAGCGGGATCCCAACCCTCCCCTAACCTGGGACAGTGGTGTAACAGTACAACGTAAGAACAAACTATAAAAATCAGTTGAAAGAGGCTTAACTCATCAGATGGATAAAAATACAAATACTACAAATACAAGTGGACGTGGCCGCGTACTTGTACATCCAAACAACAAAAGGACACTAAGTACAGATCAGAGAGTATTTGCAGTTACTGACAGCTAGTTCAAAGCCACTAACAACTAATAAAAAAAATCATGCATCTAAGACTAAATTATCAATCCGTACACATCCAACATCCAATGAATTTAGTGTAAAGACGTCATAAACAGTCAGAGAAAAACATGACTTGTGCAATGCCAAGATACAGGTATCGACAGATTGTAAATCCATGAATGTGTATATGCATATAACAGTAATATTTAGTTTGCTTTTAATTTACTGATTTTGCATTTCTGTCCATGCTTTAAAAACCTCTTTCCAAAAGGGGTTTTTACATCTGTTTGATGGACCTAATAAGACTACGTTTTTAATATTAATATTTTCTGTGCTTTCTACTAGCTTTTTGAGTATTGTGTTGTTTTTTAACAACCGTCGGACCCACGTTAGTTTTAACCCTTTAAAATATTCTTCAATATCTAGCATTTTCAGCGCCCAAAATTTATGATCCAGACATAATATTTCTCTTTTAATTTTGTCAGGCTTGTTTTCCCAAATAAATGTATATAGTGTACGAATAAGTTGTATAAGAGTAATATAGCATGGTGCTTGAAATGTTAAAAACAGATGATTTAATTTTGAAATAATTAGTGTCTTGATAACTGTTATCTTTCCCACTGGAGTAAGTGTTTGTTTAGACAAATATTAATTATATTTTCAATTTCTTTTATTTTAGGATAATAGTTCAAAGATTCCATTTCTTGTAAATTGACCGAAAAGTTTATTCCTAGTATTGTGAACCTACTGGAACCCAATTCCAATTCCCACTTTACACACATGGTGTCTTGACTATATTTTTCCCTATCCACACCACCTTTGTCTTGTCCAAGTTCTTATGGAGACCAGACATTTCAGCATATTTATTTAATAGGCGGAGTTATGCATCCAGAGATTCTGGTGTACCGTCAAGAATAATTGACGTGTCATCTGCATATTGAGAGATCAAATATTCGGTATCATCTATGTTAATTCCCTTTATTTCTGTATTTTTTCTAATTAATATTCCCAGTAAACACTCCAACGTTGACATTACGTTGTGACAACGTAATACTATCGTTGTGACAACGTAGTAAAATTACGTTGGTACAACGTAATTTTGTGGACTCCAAGGCACGTGCTGACAACCATCCACACAACGTTGGCACAACGTAATTTGTGACGTAATTTATTACCATCATAAGACGTTGTCACAACGTCGCAACACAACTGTAAATGTCCCTTGTCCTCATTTGATTGATAGGAGCAATAAAATTCCATTGAAGAAGTAAACAAAGGTCTATATTTTATTCTTTTGACCTGTTTTTTAAGTTGTAAATTTGTCTATGTAGGAAAGGTGGACACAATGTCGATATGCTCTCTTATTTCCAAACTGCCAGCTGTGTATAATATAGTCACAAAAGTTTTTTTTTTTTTACCTTTTTGCCAGGTTTCAATGTCTAATGTATAAATATCTGTGTTATCCCCAAACTTTGCATTATAATTTACATTAAACCTGTAGTTTTGTCCAATTAATGTTTCACACAGTTCTTTAAGGTTAAAGTCTTAGTTTTTAACTTTTGCAATACTGAAGTACAAGTTTTACACATTTCTATTTAACAAAAGCAACTTTTCTTTAAAAAATTTAACACATAATACTATTCAAAAAAGGAGATTTTGTATGATGGCCAACGAGACAACCCTCTATCCTAAACTCAAATATTGATGATGTTAGCAATTATAGGTAACTGTACAGCCTTCAACATGACATCTTGGTACATGCTGCAACTTCTGAAAGTTTAGGGTTTCAGTGTTCTAGAATATAGATTTCACTTTGATGGTGGAAATTCTAGAATGTAGATTTCACTTTAACGAAGGAAAACATTTTCTAATGAATTATTTAGAAATACAACAAACTACCAAATATACCTTAATATTTACTGTAGATTCATTCAGCTGTATTCACTACACAATGACAAGCTAGGAAAAAACTTTGGAAAAAGGCCCAAAAGCTGACTGTCTAATTTACAAATATATATTCTACACAACTTATACACTTCTAAAAATATCCCAAATAAAGAAAATACCTGAAATACAATCAAACTAACTATTGCTTTTTTCCATTGACCAACTAGAGATAGACATATCCAAAAGTTAAGACTTCTTTTCTTGGCTTCATGAACCAATAAAAAAATAATAATATGTTTCTGAATTTTTTTTATTTTTATTCCAAATTTTAGTCTTGTGTTGGTTGTATACATGTCATTCCAAATTTTGGTTTTCTGCCCTCTGATCAGTTGGTCTTGTGTTGGTTTCAGGTCTCTGAAAAATAAATAATCATAAATTATAAAATACAAAAAAAAAAACTGATCCCAACTTATGAATTACAGCAGTTCTTAAAAAATATCCTGTGTGTAAACATAATTAATATTTTTTCTATTGCTGGTCGTATAATAAATCTTGCAGATTCATAATTATGTTGTGCTGTTACTGTGTCAGAGATGTTTGTATCTTTGCCAATTATACACATTTTGATAATGTATGTTAGAAGTTTTAACATAATTTCAACAGTATATAATAATTTATAACTTTTGGTTAACCTTTGTTCTTATTTAAAAAATAAATTTGTTGTTAAATTGAACATGTGTTAATGAAATTATGGCTGTTCCAGAAAATACTATGTCCGCCCCCCAGGGACAACCATTTTTTAACCCCCAGCACCGACAGAATTAATAAACTGCTTCGCTGTGTGCAGCTGGATACACCCACAGAGGTCCAAATTATAACCCTGAACAGTTGGGGCAAAAATGGACACAATATTCAAGCTTGATACAGGTCTGAATTTGGACTGAAATTAAATATTTGACTTATTATAGGTTTCTGAATAAATGTAGTCAAAGAACTTGAAATTGGTTATATGAATTGAATTTATATTCAATTAATATAAAGATTTCTTGCTGTTGTGCTATACACTGTGCTGTTGCGCAATACTTAGTAAATCTGTTGTCAGACTATAAACAAATAAAGTTCAATTAATTCTCAATGTCATATTAGAAATTATGAAAATCAAAAGGGAGCTTACATCAATAGATATAAACAATTCACCAAAGTTTCATGAGAATTGCTGACAGCATTTTTGAGTTATTGTCTGAAACTGGAAAATCCCCCCTTTTTTAATGAATAAAACCCTATAACTCAGAAATGTAAAATGTAAAATTTATAAAATTCTAAACGGAGCTTACATCAATAGATATAAACAATTCACCAAAGTCTCATAAGAACTGCTGAAAGCATTTGTGAGTTTTGTCCGAAAACTGGAAAATCCTCCTTTTTTATGAATAAAACCCTGTAACTCAGAAACGTAAAATCTAAAATTTATAAAAATCAAAAGGGAGCTCATGTCAATAGATATAAACAATTCACCACAATTTCTTGCAAGTTGGTGAAAGCATTCTTGAGTTATTTTCCGAAAACTGGAAAATCCCCCTTTTTTTAATGAATAAAACCCCATAACTCGGACACGTAAAATCTAAAATTTATAGAAAAACGAAAGGGAGCTCACGTCAATAGAATTAAACAATTCATCAAAGTTTTATGCAAATTGGTTTAGGCAGTTTTGAGTTAATGTCCAAAATGTTGATGACGGACGGACAGACGGTATACCATAATACGTCCCGTAAACGGGCATATAAAAATAAATAAGAACAACACTCCCTTTGCATTTTGGTATTTCAAATACAACCACCTCCACATAATTTAAAAAAAAAAAAGAGCCTTCCCTGGGGGGACATAGTATTTTCTGGAACAACCAGTAGTTATTCTACAAATAATAATGAATCCAAATTAAAAAAGGAAGTTTGGTTTCTCAAAATTGTTATTTATCAATTGATTTTAGATATTCATAGGATTTTACCTTAATACATTTAGAATTTACAGCAATACAGCAAGACCTTATATCATATGCCAATGAACGCAATCTATAAAATCAACAAATTATAATTTGATAAATAAAATTAATAAAAGAATGTGTCTATGAGCCACAAATGATGTAATTAAAGGAGATAACTAAAGAACAGTAAAACAGATGCTCTTCAAATTCAAACTCTGCGTTTTATGATAATAAGCATTGTGTATAAATTTCATAACATGTCGTTCAGGCAAACTAAAGTTAGAGAACAGAAACCAATTTTGAGTTCAATGTATGTACATGTACGTACAGAACAAGAGTAAAACTATATCACTCAGTGAAGGAGGGCATAAAAAGAGCTGATCAACTGATGTTTACCTTTTTATATCTTGGTCCATCTTTTTGAGCTGGTGTTACTGCAATGCATTCCTCAACCTCAGACACATTGGATCTGTGGATTTTTATACAAGACTCTGGAAAAAAAATTATAAATACATTCAATTATATTCTATATTCCTCCGTCTGTTTACATGAGTGTCAGTCCAACAAATCTTTGGGAGAACTAGGTAGGAACAAATTTACATGCATTCCAAAATTCATAAGTTTTATGATTGATTACGACATTGTTTCTGATCACATATTCAGTGAGAGTTGAATACAGCTCGTCATTGATAAACATTTAGATTTCATACCATAAATTGAACAGCAAAAAAGACGTCCCTATATACTGGTTTTTCTAACACCAGTAAACTTGGTTTTACCCTCAAAACAGGAAAATTTTACCCAACTTTTCCCGACTGGATCCTAGTCTCAATAATTATGACGTCTTGGAAGGCTATTTTAATTTTTGTTCTGTGACGCCTATCTACGACGACCTAGTGCCAAATAATTATGACGTCTTGGAAGGCTATTTTAATTTTTTTCTGTGACGCCTATCTACGACGATCTTGTCCCAAATAATTATGACGTCTATGAAGGGTATTTTTATTTTTCTGTGACACCTATCTACGACAGTCGTTATTGGCACAATTGTTTATTCCCATGCATGTCAGACCCAGTGATACATTGATTGATTGTTGGTTGCTTAACGTCCAGTGGTAAATATTTCATGCATGTTCAGGACGACCACCAGTGATACATGTAGTATTATCATTAAAAGGCTGAGTTTGTAACTGGCCGAGTTTGTAATGGGCCGAGTTTGTAATATGCCGAGATGTCTAGCTTCGCATTTGTGATATAGATAAGACTTTTATGCTTCCAACATTATCAAAAAATAACAGTGCAAAAGACACTAGCAGCCTTAATATATAGGGATAGTAGCTCTTGGCATGGATAGAAAACAAGTGCCTGTGCACCCCCCTTTTTTTTTACTTTCTACAGTTAATTTCATATATCTTAAAAAACAACACAAGTTAATCGAGCATTTTGAAAAATGGATTCAAATAACACAAATTTTGGCTAAAATATCTTGTATCAGTGCAATATATTGACAGTAAAATAAGAAGTATCATATTTCAACACGGTCACGGACAACAGAATTGAAAGAGGCGCCCAACACGGCAACAAATGTTTTATTTTCTTCAATCATACTAGTTTTTATCATGGAGAACCTTTTTGGCGTAATGTGCAATTATTATATTACCTTTTTCTTTGTTCTGGAATCTGGATCGAGCTAAATTTCACTGCAAGTTAGGTTATCACATTTTTTAAAAATCAAGCGGTGAAAGTGCGCATGCTCAGACTTTTCATAGTACGCAGCGGTAAAACCCGAGTACTGCTGAACGTTCCACTATTTATAACCAATCGTAAAAAAACGATAAATGATGACAAAACTTTAATGATATATTAAACAATAAATATTCATACAAAATATATATATGAGAACATTAAAATTGGATTTGTAATATTTTCTTGGACATTTTGGTGCAAATTATGTCTGTGCAGGAAAAAAGGGGGATATTTTGAAAATAAAAAAAAACGTGAATATATTCTAGTGAAGGTGAATGTTATATCCAGGAAGACTCATACCCACAAAAATCGTCCCATAAAACCAGATTTAAATGTGTCACTGGTATTCACAGGGTTTGTTCAGGCTACGTTATTATAATGTTGATACGACGTAACAAAATGTTACGTCGGATTATGACAGTTATAAGCACGTTGTCACAACGTAATAAAATGTTACGTCCTGACAGGGTACTAAATTTACGTACATTCGACGTAATTTTATAACGTCGTAAGTACGTCTGCATCCAACGTTGGGTTTTTACGTTCCCACAACGTTGGTACGACGTAAACTCAAGACATGACTTTCAGACGACCATTAACCGACGTTGGGAGTACGTCGTGTGTTTGCTGGGTTCCAAGTATTTCTGTACATAAAAGAAAGATATAAGGTGATAAAGGATCCCCTTGTCGACAACCTCTTTGAATTTCAAAAAATTCAGATAAAAAACAATTTTGAGAAACTGCAGAACTTATATTTTTGTAAAAGGTCCTTATCCAGTGTTTTATAGAGGGGCCAAAATTGAAAAAGTCTAAAACGTTTTCAATGAAATTCCATGATACAGAGTCAAAAGCCTTTTCAAAATCTATGAGAAGGAGCAGTCCTGGTAAATCATTAAGTTCTGTATGAAATAAAATATCATAAATAAGACGATTATTTTCCCCTATAAACCTACCAGGAATGAAACCGGTCTGATCACTGTTTATAATTTGAGGTAGAACTAATTTTATACGCTCTTCTATGCAGCTTGACGCTAATTTATATGTGGTATTGAGTAAACTTATTGGTCGCCATTTTTTTCATGAACTGTCTTGGTTTATCTCCCATTGGTATACAGATTATAATACCTTGTCTTTGAGTAATAGATAATTCTCCCTTTTCGTAACCATTAATTAAAGAGCGAAATACAAATGTTCCTATATCTATCAAGAAAAAACTTGAAAAAGTCATTGGTGAAACCATCTGACCCAGGGCTTTTTTCATTTTTCATTCTTTGTCAAGCTGTTGTTAATTCACTATAAGTAATATCACCCTCCAAAGATTCTTTTATGGCATTATTTAGTTTTTTAATATGAGTATATGGAATTTCACAATTAGGGTTAACATCATTCAACTTTTCTGTTTTGGTATATAGCCTTTTGTAATAATTGTTTGCCTCCTTTAATATTTCATCTTACTCACTGACAGTGTCCCCTCTTTCATTTACTAATTTTGAAAAAGTTTTTTTTATAAAATGTTTAGTTTCTAAATTCAGAAAAAAGTTTGAAGGTTTTTCTCCTTCTTCTATCCACTGCATTTTGGATCTGATGTAGGACCCCCTCATTTATTCTTGCCTTAATACTTTTAAATCAGTTTTCTTTTTTTTTCAATTTCAGTAAAGATTTCTTCTGTCAAGATTTGCTCTTCTACTTTTTTAATATCTTCTGATAGTATTTTGTTCTTTTTTATCTTTTTGTTTCTTCCTAAAAGAAGCATATGAAATTGATTTTCCTCTAATTACTGTTAATAAAGTTTCTAAAAAGAGTTGATCGTTTATAGTAAATTGATATTTCGGGGATTGCAATTTAAACTAAAAATAATGTTTCTTTTTGAAATACTTTATTATTATTCATATTTTCATTATAATTGTACATATATAAATCATCATATCATTCATAGAACAACGACCTCCTTAATTTTTAATACTGCTCTGGAAAATGTAGAAGACCGGATATAAGAAAATTGTTTATTAATTTCACATTGAACACATTTAATACAGTACTTTATGTTTGTGAAAGAATCACAAACATTTTTTTTTAATCTTTTATCATGGTGAGTTGTTTAAGATAAACTGTTCATTTTATTTAAGCCGATTAAAATTTAATATGCAATTTGTAACAAGAAAAAAAAAACAAACAACAAAATATAATTAATCGTCTTCTTGTGGATAACACCTCACTATCGAATTCAAATAAAAAAATAAATACAATCGCTCTGATTTATTCATCAACTTAAAACATAGTGCTTCGATAACTTTACTTTTAGTAGTATTCCGATTTATGCCATGAATAAATGGGATAAAAACACGGTAAAAGGAAAAAGAAAAACTATATGCATCCAAACGAAAACTTGCATATGGCGTTTATCATGTCACTAAAACGAAACACAACTATTGTGTATCGAAAAGGAGTTAAATTATCTGAACGCGGACTGCGATAGAACATTGTTTTGCTTCATATAATAACAAAATTGAGTAAGCAAATTGATAAGTTTTAATAGAAAAAAAAAACATGTGACGAGCTCTCTTTGGGTTAGGATAACGCGTATGCTTGCTTCTGTAGATAAAAAAAACCTCAGAGCAATATTAACGACAATCATAGACTCATGATAAAGAAATAGTATAATGTATCTTATATATTTGAACAAATAGTATCACTAAAGTATAGCTCTTTTTCCTTAGAATCTGTAGTTTGCTCCAATGTATGTATAGTTTTGATTAGTTCAATTAACTTAAATATTTCACATATTTTCTAGTGTATATTGTCGTTTCCTAAAATATGGAAATGTTACTCAAAAACTTAATGCAGATGCATCATCAGTATTGAGTAAGCTATCAATTTCAGTTCCTGAACATCTTATATTAAGTCCGATCTGACCCAAAAGTAAAGTAGTTTATTAAACACTACTCGTTCTGGACTACCTTATGTGAATGGGAATTGCTAAGTCATTAGAATGTGCATGTCGTGTAATTATTGCTAAAGAAATGGTGTATGCCGGAACAAAAGTGCGTATTGTTAAAACAACCAAAAAGCGGGTTTGAACGTTTCAAATAACACAAACGATATTAACAGACCCCACAACAAATCTAACCAACTGTCAAAACAAATACAACTTACGTTGGCATGTTCCATTATGTAGGTAAAAGTCAGGACAACATGTCAGATTTAGCCTTTTTACTATCATGGAATTGCTAAAATAAAAGTAGAATGTTTGCAGTGTAAAAGATTAAGATTAGCAGCCACAATGTATTTCGTTGTAACTCCAATTCCTCTATCACTTTATTAAAACAATTATACGTATTATAGTAAAAAACGAAATTATTTCTATGGTGCCTAATACATGTAATACTGGTAAATATAAATAATTGTCAAATTAGATTATGATATTTTTTTAACTTGCATGGGATGTATATCGATTTCAGTTGAAACTTTTTCTTGCATAAAATACAAAATAACAGTTGTCGGAAAATGAAACAAGCAAGAAACATTAAGTACATACACGTTGACTTGAACATATCGCTCACAAACACCAGTAGCATTTGTTTCTAAACCTGTTATCGTGTGGACTAACATATATGCTAGACAGTACGGTAACATTTCGCCCTTCGAGAAGAATTCTTAAATTGTTACACAAACAGATATATACAGGTCTAAGTGCATCATTTTAAACTTTGGACATCAAATTAAAAAAAAACAAAGTTCCTGATTATTTGGTTATTTGATTGGTTACCAACTGATACGGAAACTTAAGCGCTATACGATTTCAAGCGCTTTAGACAAACATAATTTTAAGTCAATAAAGTAGAAAAGGAAATGTTTACATATACATATAATTGAATAAAATTGAAAGAGTATTGCTTGCACTATATAGATATATGCTTTGCTTATTTGAAATTTCACGATCAACATTTGTCCTTTAGTATTTGGAATGAAATGTCGGAGCCGCGCATCATCACACGAATTCACTAAATTTCCTAAATCTAGCCCCCCCCCCCCCTTTTTTTTTTATTACGGAGTCAAATTCTGTAAAAAACAATATACAGAAAGAGGAAATGGAATCGAGTTGTCATCTATTACTTTAGAATATATGGCATGGTTGAAGATAAAAGATAAAAAAAAGAACGTTTAGAAAATAAAAGAGACGACTGTACTTATGAAAAAGAAGATGTGGTAAGATTCCTAATGAGACAACTCTCCACAAGAGACCAAATGACACAGAAATTAACAACTATAGGTCACCTCACGGCCTTCAACAATGAGCAAAGCCCATACCGCACAGTCAGCTATAAAAGGCCCTGAAATGACAATGTAAAACAGTTCAAACGAGAAAACTAACGGCCTAATTTATGTTAAAAAAAATGAACGAAAAACAAATATGTAACACATAAACAAACGACAACCACTGAATTACAGGCTCCTGACTTTGGACAGGCACATACATAGAGAATGTGGCGGGGTTAAACATGTTAGCGGGATCCCAACCCTCCCCCTAACCTGGGACAGTGGTGTAACAGTACAACATAAGAAAGAACTATAAAAATCAGTTGAAAGAGGCTTAACTCATCAGATGGATAAAAATACGAATACTAGAATTACAAGTGGACGTGGCCGCGTACTTGTACATCAAAACAACAAAAAGACACTAAGTACAGATCTAAGAGTACTCGCAGTTACTGACAGCTAGTTCAAAGCCACTAACAACTAATAAAAAAATCATGCAGCTAAGACTAAATTATCAATCCGTACACATCCAACATCCAATGGATTTAGTGTAAAGACGTAATAAACAGTCAGATAAAAACCTGACCTTGTGCAATGCCAAGATACAGGTATCGACAGATTGTGGATCCATGAATGTGTATATGTATATAACAATAATATTTAATTTGCTTTTAATTTACTGATAACAAAATCAATATCAGAACCAATAAAAACAATATTTAATGATCTAATTACA